GGGTTAGGGGGGTAGTGGGTGTGGGAGGGGAGTGTGATGGTGCTGGGGCGAAATGCTTCTGTGTGCATAATGATTAGTTCCAGCCATGCTCGTGCAACTATTCTATCATTCCACGTGACTACTGGTGTATGAATGATGATTCAATCATATCAAACGGCTGTGTCTGGCATGTGTATGATACTAAATTCCACGTAGTGTAAAAACATTCTTAATGCCCCCCTTTGTGCTTCTATGGTAGGTTTTTCCCTGTTCCCCACTTATTCCCTCCTGTTCCCCTCTTTGCTCTGCATTCTGTTTGAGAATGTAACCCCCGTTACGTTAGTCAATTACATAAAAGAGTTGCTCCTCTGTAGATTGATACACTGTCGAGCAGGTTTCTTTGTGGGTTGGATGGGAGTGAACACAGGTGAAAACTAAAGCAAAGAAGCGGTTCACAGCTAGGCATGAGTATGAAGCGTTTTGCCCTTGTGAATTGTTCCTTCGGGGTTCATGAAGGATCCAGTCTAATTACCCTGGGCACCAACGGTTGGAATGCAAAATGCCTTTCTTCTATAGGTTTTAATTTTGGATTCCTACACTCGGGAACACTATCTCAGCCAGAGCCCCACGCGTTCTTGCCCATTCCTCCAACTGACAACTCCTAGAGCAGTACGCGATGTGGCACCCCGCGCAGCAACGGAAAGACCCTGCACTCGTCTCCCTCCGCCCACATGCTGACCGGAGGAATGGTTCTCGTGCTGCTGGTGAGGCGAGTGGTTCATGTGCTGCTGCTGTTGATGAGGTTGGTGGCACATGTGCTGCTGCTGGCGGGATGGGTAGCAGCTGTGGTTCTTGTGTTGTTGCCAGTTGTGCAGTTGGCGGTGCTGGCGGCAACTGAGGTTTTACCTGGGAGATCACATTTCCTTGTCTCAAATCACAACCCCAAGCCCCACACAGCACCCGCTTCCTCTGCTCTTGCTGCTGCCTCACCTGCTGCTGCTGCCTTCCCTCCTGCTGCTGCTGAGAGTTGAAGTGCAATGGCTCCACGTGCTCCACTTGCCCCCCTCGCCGCGCCTGCTCCCTTCGCAGCACTTGCAGGGCACGGACACGGGCGAGCAGCACATGGGCCATGCGCTCGTTGCTCTGCGCCCCCACGCCGTGCTGCACGCAGTGCGCCAGCTCCACCAGCGATGCAATGTCGCCGCCCGGTGCTGCCCGCAGCAGCAGCTGCACTGCCGTGCGCGCAGGTTCCGGTGAGGGTCCTTGTGACGATGATGGCCGTGATAGGCTGATGTCGTTAGCGCCATCAGGGTTGGTTGTGGGACGGCAGCTACTGCTGCTGATGGTGCTGCTGGTGCTGCTAGTGCTGCTGGTGCTGCTATCATCGCCATTGCCTCGCATGCTGCTGCTGCTGCTGCTGCTGCCACTGGATATGCTGCTCCCAGCGTCAATACTATCAGTAACACAGCTCCCAGCAGTAATATTATCTGAAGAGCTGCTTCTCGTAGCTACGTTATTGGAAGCCTCAGTAGTGGTTTCACTGTTGGCCGTGCAGCTGATTCCAGCGGCATGCCGGTGGTCGACCTGGTTACCACTGGTAACCATTTCACGATGTCGGCTGCTGTCGTCACAGCCCCTCTTGGGCATCGCATTGCCACGGTTGAGCAGAAATATCGCCAGCGAATGCAGAGCTGCCAGGCTGCTCGGGTAAGGAGCGCCGAGCCTGTGTTAGGGTCGTTGAAGCAGTAGGTGTAGGTCTGGCCAGACATGGAGGGAAGACACACGGGGTGGGTTTGGTCTGGTTCGGGGTCGTACAGGAGAACAGGGAAAGTGCAAGCGCATATTTCAACAGGAGAAAGCGAGATGGAGGCGGGGGTGGATAGAGAGAAGAGAAGAGAAGGGGCACGGAAAAAAGTTGTTAAAACTCACCATGCCGAGAATAAACAAGACCTCGCTGTTCCCAGCAGCAGCGCAGCTTCTCAGAAAGTGCAGGTTGGCGTCGCTCCAGTGCTCAAAGCGCGGCAGCAGCACGGAGGGAGGCAGGATGCGCAATATTGCTGGAGACATGCCAATGTCGCAAAACTGGGAGCACCTGTAACGGGGATGAAAGCAGAGGTAACGAAACATAAACATACATTGGACTGACAGCATATATAGCAAAATAGAGTGCGAGTAACACGAACGATCGCGCAGGGAAAGCATTTGCGGGCGGAAGCGGCGAGTGATGCATTTGCGATCGGGTCTGGCGGCATTGGTACGCGATGTGAAGGTTGGGATGCGAGTGGCGGTTGCGGTGAACGGATAGTCGCCTGAAGGTATAACCGCGCCACCGAGGAGAACCTTCACGTGCTTTCTCTCTTGACTCGAATCTTTAGGCTTGCCGTTTCGAGCCGCGTTGTAAAACCAACGCGCATCGCAGTAGTGCGCAACTCGTTTACAGAGACGGCTCGCCGGGGACTCTTCGAACATCCGTACATGACGAAGTCGGGAAGCATACTAACACCTCCTACTCGTCATTCGCGATTCATGTCGCGTGCCGCGCACCCTCGTGCCTAATCTTAGCTTAAGCGCACCGGGTCGTCGAGGGACTCCTTTCGAGCACCCAGCAGCGATACTTTTGTCACTAAATAATCCTCAAAACAGGGAGGATGCTTGAGGTTCGCGTTTGGTCGGCCGCGAGTATGGTGTATCGCGTTTGAGTCGCGACGTACGTGACTGTGTCAGCGTGTCAGCGTGGCTCGGGAGCGAACGGAACGGATTGAGACGTACATGAGGAGCGATCTGAGACGTACACGAGGAGCGTGTGGGCGTATTGGCGCGGCGAGCAGGCGGGCGACTGCAGGCAGCGGCGCAGTACCGCCTCCACTAGCTCCGCCTGCACGCGGCGATGAAGGGGAACATGGCACAGGGGAGGAGAAGAAGTGCGGGAGATGAGGGAGGGAGAGGTGAGCGCGGAAGGCGGACAGGCGGAGAACGAGCTGCGCAGTACCGCCTCCGCCAGCTCCGCCTGAGAGTGAGGGGGAGAAGGCAGCGGGAAGAGGAGAGGAGGAGGGATGGGGGTGAAGAGGGGGAGGGGGAAGGCTTTGGAGAGGAGAACAGTGGGAGGGGAGGGGGAAGAGGAAAGTAACGGGTTTGAAGGGGAGCAGGTTACAGAGCACCGCAGTTACCATGACTTATGGGGAGATCCGTGAACCCGCGCCGTTGGTGTCGGCGCTTGGCGTCATGCAATGACTCTGGGCAATGATCCGCCATCTGCTCGTCCGCCAGCGGGAGTTCCGCAGAGGCCAGTTCGCGTTCAACGGCCCTCTGCGTGTCTTGCGCGTCGGCGATGCGGCCGCTCGTAGGACAAACTGCGGGATTACAAGCGCAGCGGCTGATTCGAGCACCAGTGGTAGTAGCACTCGCAAGGTACAACGTTTAAGAACAACCGTGCAAAGGTAGTACTAGACAAGAAAGCTTAGTCTGTCTGTCGGTGCACGCAGGCTCTATCAACGAAACCCGGTCTGCGTTGATATTAGTATTCGCAAGGTCCTGACTCGGCGGAAGGTCCAGTTGCGCACGAAGGTAAGAGCGTTTGCCGTTGAAAGCCGCTCGTGAGAGAGAGACGAACGCGTGAAAAAGGCTCGCTGAGCTATTCTCGAGGAAAGGATCAGATTATGTACGATTAGGTTCAAGGAAGAAGTCGAAATTTTAGCCAAGGAAGGTGCAATTCCGTCCAGTAGGGGTGGGGCAAGGCGTGACTCGGTCGGTGCTCAGAGAGAAAAGGACATGGCGCAGACTCGTCGCGATTCGAGACGAGGAGAAAGGGAGGATGGAAAAGGTCGGAAAAACGCGAAAACGCAAATGCGCGAAAAACGCACAACCTAATCATGGTGTCGGGAAGAAAGAGATGCAGCGGGGCCGGATCGGAATGGAGGCGTTTGGGGAAAGGGGAGGGGACGAAAACACGTGGGGAAAATGCAACGACGTCTTCCCGGAAATTGGGTGGGTGGTTTATGGTGAGAGGAGCAGGACAACGTGCAAATGGTCGAACGCACTCTCCACACTCTGACACACGAGCGAGAGAAAGAAGAGAGTGTATTGGCGTGTTTGTGCGGTGATGAGGGAGGGAGGCATAGTCAGGGCGCGGTACATTGTTGTTCAAGAGCTGTTCAAGACTTGCTCATGCGACACAAATTTCGGGTTACCCTGTTCACTACGGTAAAGCTGTACCTAGGCTGGTCAAGAAGGTTGCGCGTCTTGACCAGCCAGCTGACGAACACGCGACTGGTGTTTTGAACAACTAGTTCGTCAGCAAAAATATTCTGTACCGCATCGCTGGTCAACATAATTGGCGAAACGAATTTTCGCGCACCAAGTAGCTGTCCCCCGTGAGTGAGAAGGTAACGAAACGGTTACGGGAGTCACAACTTCCATTGCTTTCGCAGTGTTGTAGGCGGGTTCGTCACCTCGACGGAAAATTATTCTTAGACGAGTCTTGTCCACCCGCTTTTGTAACATGTTCCAAAATGTTTCTTTTGACCAGAAATTATTCATCACCTTCGTCTGAACCCCGTTCAAGCTAGTTTGAACGCATTGTTCGTCATTTCCATCTTGAACAGCTCTTGAACAACAGTGTACCGCACCCTCAGAAACATAGTCACGCGCTTCTCTGATCGGACCGGCCGCGATTGACGGGACGGGACGGGACTCGGGAGCGAGGGAGTCTGATATGATGTGCTGTGCATTCAGAGTGAGAAGAGAAGTGACTAGTCGAGCAGCAGGAAGCGGTGAGGGGAAGGGGGGGATGCAAGGGGAGGGCGATATGGAGTGATCAGTGGAAAGGGTGAGGGGAAAAGAGCGAGAGGAGACAGGTAGGTACGAGAGGGAAGGCAGGTCGTGCTGACCTATCCTTGCCGTCGTGTCGTTTCGGCATTGGTTGCCACGTGTCGCTTTGGTTTACTCACGACCCCGTTTTTTGAGTTTTGCTACTACCTCCCACGCTGTGCCACGCTCTTGCGCTGTCGTTCTCTGTGTGCCAGGTCGCGCGATGAGGGCGCGGCCACTGCTGACGTGTCATGCAGCAAGGCCAACCGCGAGAAAATGAGACGCGACCAACTCAATGACTGGTGACACGTGGCAGGTGGCCATTCGGTGACAGGTGACAGGTGGATGCTGACTCCCTGGCGGGTGAGAGGTGGCATGGCTGGTTACTGAATATGCGACAGATGCGGTGTATGTATTCTTGAGTTTTTTTTCAAAATTTCCCTGAAACGGTAGGTTATTGCTTGTGCGACTAATGCAATCATGACTGGCATTGCATTCCCAGGTGGAAGCTGGCAGATGACAGATGGTAGTGGTGACACGTGCACATGTACACTCACTCACACACACTTACACACGCGCACATACAATAACACTCACGTATAATCACTCACACACGTGCCCATTCACACACACACACTCACACACACACACGCACTCACACACACTCATACACACACGCATACACTCATACACACACACACACACACTGCCATTGCCCATCAAGACGTAGTGAGATCTGTCAGAGTGCCCTTCATCCCCCCACCCCTCCCTCATTTCCCCCGCTCGCCTCTTCCCTTCGTCTCCAAATTTCTGGAGTGAGTCGGCCATTGGAGCCCGGCAAGGTGCAGTGAGAGGTGGTCGCGATCCTCTTTTCATCCCAACCGCCCCCTTCACACCTCACTCCCACCGCCTTGCAGGTTCCTAGAGCTGAGTCGGTCACTGGAGCCAAGGAAAGCGCCCAAGGCGGACAAGGCGAGCATCACGCCATGCGCGTGCTCTCCCAGCTGTGCGCCGAGCCTCCCTCTCCCCCCCGTTCCTTCCTTCCCTTCCCCCCCAACACACACAGGTTCCTGGAGCTGAGTCGGTCGCTGGAGCCAGGAAAGGCGCCCAAGGCGGACAAGGCGAGCATCATGTGTGACGCGGTGCGCGTGCTCTCCCAGCCGCACTGCCATCGCACACCCCCCTTTCCACACGGGCTCCTCCAGAGGTTCCTGGGGCTGAGTTGGTCATTGGAACCTGGCAAGGGGCAGTGGTACTTTCTCAGAATACCCTTCATCTTCCCATCCCACAACCCCCCTCCAACACCTTCCCCCAACCACAGGTTCCTGGAGCTGAGTCGGTCACTGGAACCAGGGAAAGCGCCCAAGGCGGACAAGGCGAGCATCCTGTGTGACGCTGTGCGCGTGCTCTCCCAGCTGCGCGCCGAGCGAGAGGCACTAAAGGAGAGCAACGCCACGCTGCAGGAGCAAATCAAGGAGCTCAAGGTGCGTTGGGATGGGAAGGAGGGGGGGTTGGGGGGGGGGTGTCATGGCAATGATGTGATGGCGCAGCATTATCAGAGTCACGATAGCAGACAGCACTAAGAGAGCAACGCAGCGCTGCCGGAGCAGACGAATGAGCTTAAGGTGTATGTGTGTGTGCGTGCGTGCGTGCGTGCGTGCGTGCGTGCGTGCGTGCATGTGTGTGTGTGTGTGTGTGTGTGTGTGTGTGTGTGTGTGTGTGTGTGTTTGTGTGTATGTGGTGGGTTGATAGGGGAATGTGGCAATGCAGCAGGTACACAAAGCAGGCAATTAGGCGGCTGTGATGTGATGCATGTGAGGCAATCCACGTAGAGAGGTGCAACCATGCCCTTCGGTAATCACATCATGACGCTTGTTCTGAGGCAGAATCGCAGAGGGCTATGCGCCGCTGGGAGCAAATCACGTGGGAGGGTTTTCTAACAAGGCACAACATATGCAGGCACCACTCCGCATGGCTGTTGAGTCGACTCAAGAGTCATCTCGAATTCTTAAAGAGCCACTACAGGCAGGCACTGCTGCATTTGCGAATTTCACAAGCAACTACCTCTCTCTCCCGCCCATCAGTCCGTGCAGGCTGAGAGGCATGAGCTCCGTGAGGAGAAGGCCCGCCTGAAGGCCGAGAGTGAGAAGCTTCAGCAGCATGTCAACGGCTCTGCTGCATTTGAGAGCTCCCACAAGCAACTCCCTCTCTCCCCTACTCTCCCTTCCTCTTCCTTCATCTCCCTTCCTCTCCCTTCTTCTCCCTTCCTCTCGCTTCCTCTCCCTTCCTCCCCTTCCTCTCCCTTCCACTCCCTTCTTCTCCATTCCTCTCGCTTCCTCTCCCTTCCTCCCCTTCCTCTCCCTTCCTCTCCCTTCCTCTCCCTTCCTCTCAATTCCTCTCCCTGCTCCCCCATCCGTCCGTGCAGGTTGAGAAGCACGAGTTACGCGAGGAGAAGGTCCGCCTGAAGGCCGAGAGTGAGAAGCTACAGCAGCATGTCAACGGATCTGCTGCTTTCAAGAGTTCTCACAAGCAACCCACCCCCACCACCCCCTCCTCCGTCCTTTGGTCCGTGCAGGCTGAGAAGCACGAGCTCCATGAGGAGAAGTCTCGGCTCAAGGCGGAAAGTGAGAAGCTTCAACAGCACGTCAACGGCTCCGCTGCCGCCGCGGCAGCAGCAGCAGCAGCCACCGCCGCTACCCCCACCCACCCCGCCACTCCCACCACCGCCATCCCCGTCACCGCCATCCCTCTCCACCACTTTCCACCCACCGCGCCCGCCACGCCGATGGCGTACCAGCCGCACCCCCACTCTGCGGCCATGCATGCAGCTGCTGCTGCGTATGCTGCTCAGCTGCAGCAGTGCCAGCAGCAGATGGCTCTCGGCCCTCCCAAGGGAGCACACATGGGAGGCATGACCGCTCCCGTGCCCGCCCCCATGTCTGCACCCATGCCATCTCCCATGCCCGCTGCCATGACTGGTGCTGCTGTGTCTCACACTGTGTCGCATGCAGTGTCCCATCCGGTGGGTCAGCCTGTGCCTCAGCCGATGCATCAGCCAGGGGTGTTTGCCCATGGCCATGTGGCAGTGGATGGCGCCTACCTCAGTTGACACCTCACAGGACCACATGCTCAGGTCGCCCGTGGCTTAGTTACAACCTCCCCCAGTTTTTCACGCCAGTACCACGTGCTCAGACCAAGTGCTGCTTAGAAGTGTTCACATCTGGCACGTTGCATGATAACATGCTTGACCGCGTGTTTTCTCTCAGCCTGTTTTATAGAAGGGATGGTTGATTTGTGTTGCTTGGTTATGGGTGGATAGAAGGAAGCGGTAGGACCTTGGTGTCAGATTACCATTGTATCTCTAGGCTACAGTAGGGTCACTCCTTAGTGAGTACAACACTTTAGGGTTAGGTTTCCCTTACTTGTACTCACCTCTTGCCTAGTCCAATCCATCATTCCTAGTTGTATTCTTGACATGTTATCAGAGTAGGAACCGTTCCTACATGGGCCCACCGTTCCGCCTAGTGGTAGCGCCACGCCCTACACAGTAGCCAGCGCGCTGGCGCCCCTAGCTCTCACTGTCGCGACCCTTGCAGCCCGTGCGCTGCCCCTGCGACCGCGCTGCCCCTGCAGCCGTGCTCGCCCCTACGACCGTGCTGCCCCTTGCAGCCGTGCTCGCCCCTGCTACCGTGCTGCCCCTGCAGCCGCGCCTGCCCCTGTGGCCCGCGCGCTGCTCCTCCAGCCCGTACGCTGCCCCTGCAGCCCGTTCACGCTGCCCCTGCAGCCGCGCGTCGCCTCTGCAGCCAGCCCGCGCGTCGCCCCTGGAGCCCGCGCGCCGCCTGTGCAGCCCGTCCTCGCGGACCCTGCAGCCCGCGCGTCGCCCCTGGAGCCCGCGCGCCGCCTCTGCAGCCCGTCCTCGCGGACCCTGCAGCCCGCGCGTCGCCCCTGGAGCCCGCGCGCCGCCTCTGCAGCCCGTCCTCGCGGACCCTGCAGCCCGCGCGTCGCCCCTGGAGCCCGCGCGCCGCCTCTGCAGCCCGTCCTCGCGGACCCTGCAGCCCGCGCGTCGCCCCTGGAGCCCGCGCGCCGCCTCTGCAGCCCGTCCTCGCGGACCCTGCAGCCCGCGCGTCGCCCCTGGAGCCCGCGCGCCGCCTCTGCAGCCCGTCCTCGCGGACCCTGCAGCCCGCGCGTCGCCCCTGGAGCCCGCGCGCCGCCTCTGCAGCCCGTCCGCGCGGCCCCTGCAGCCCGTACGAGCTGCCTTTGCAGCCAGCGCGGCGCCCCTGCAGCCCGCGCGTCCTGCCCCTGCAACCTGCGCCAGCGCCCTGCCCTGCGCGCGTTGACGCCCTGCCCTGCGCCAGCGCCCTGCCCTGCGCCCGCGCCCTGCCCTGCGCCAGCGCCCTGCCCTGCGCCAGCGCCCTGCTATACCCTAAATATAATTAAATTGTTTATTAAAAAAAAAAAAGGACCCTAGGTGCTTCTGCCCTAGGAGCTACTGCCTACTACTGCCCTGCTGTGGCCGCGCGCCGCCCTGCTCTGGCCGCGCGCCGCCCTGCTGCTGTTACTACTGCTGCTGCTCCTACTCGTGCTACTGGGAGTGGAGGAGGTGCTGCTGGGAGTGCAGGAGGTGCTGCTGGCGCTGTAGGAGCTGGAGGTGCTGGACCTACTCCTGACCGTCACTGTCTGTCATGGCCACTTCCGCGGCAGTTGCTGCGGCCAGGGGTGGACAGCAGCGGGCACTGCTTCTCCCAGACAACCTCACCCCTCAGCAGCTTCGTGAGTGGGTTATTCAGCGAGGTCGTCCTGGTGGTGGAGGTTATCGTTTTGTTAGGACTGCTGCTCTTGGTGTTAGTGAGTCTGCTGCCGCTCCAGGTGCTAGTGAGTCTGCTGCAGCTCTAGGTGCCCGTGAGTCTACCGACGCTCTAGGTGCTAGTGCGTCTACTACCACAGGTCCTGCCTCAGCTGAGGTCTTGCACACTTTCACGCTTGACTCAGGCGCGTCACGTTGCTTCTTCCGTGATTGCACCACAGTCACACCACTCACAGCACCTGTCCCAGTCTCACTGGCTGACCCCTCTGGGGGCCCAGTGGTTGCGAGAGCCTCCACGGTCCTCCCTTGTCCAGCAGTCCCCTCTGGTTCTTTGTCAGGTCTCCACCTCCCCACGTTCTCGACGAACTTGGTGAGCAACGCTGCCATTCAGGATGTCTGGGTTGATACCTTTATTCCTGGAGGGCAGCGTGTGGCGATCTGTACGTGCTCCCGGACTGGCCGTCACCTGGCTACGTTCACTCGTCAACCTGGGTCTAGTCTGTACACACTGACCACTGCGTCTGCACAGGTGGCTGAGTCAGGTCAGGTAGCTGCGTCGAGTCGAGCGTCTGCGTCAGGGCAGTTAGCTGCGTCTTGCTCGTGCAGAGTACTCACGCACGAGACTCAGCGCTGGCACCACCGTCTTGGTCACCCCTCCCTGCAGCGTCTGCGCGGCATGCACTCCCGGCTCCTGGTCTCTGGCCTCCCTGAGACCCTGCCCCCCCTCCCGCGCTCACTTGCGCCGCCGTGTCTTCCTTGCGTCGAGGGGCGGCAGCGCGCCGCTCCTCACTCCTCCGAGTTTCCTCCGACCACTGCTCCTCTGCAGACTCTCCACCTGGACGTGTGGGGCCCGGCCCCCGTCGGTGGGACGGACCAGGAGCGCTACTTCCTGCTGGTTGTTGACGACTACACACGCTACACCACAGTCTTCCCCTTGCGTCGCAAGGCGGACGTCAGCGGTGTTTTGATCCCTTGGATCCGTGCTACTCGTCTCCAGCTACACGAGCGCTTTCATCAGGACTTCCCAGTCCTGCGTCTGCACTCTGACAGGGGTGGTGAGTTCTCTTCTGGTGTCCCTGAGACGTTCTGCCAGGATGAGGGCATCGCCCAGTCGTTCACGCTTCCGGCCTCTCCGCAGCAAAATGGGATCGCTGAGCGTCGCATTGGCCTGATCATGGAGGTTGCTCGTACCTCCATGATCCATGCGGCTGCTCCCCATTTCCTGTGGCCGTTTGCGGTCCGATACGCCGCGCATCAGCTCAACCTCTGGCCCCGTGTCTCTGCTCCAGAGACCTCGCCCACACTTCGTTGGACGGGACAGCCTGGTGATGTGTCGTCGTTTCGGGTCTGGGGCGCGCTCTCCCTTGTCCGCGATACCAAAGCGAGCAAGCTCTCTCCTCGCACTCTCCGCTGTCTCTTCCTGGGCTTCCCCACCGACGCTCCACCCTGGCAGTTCTACCACCCTGCCTCGCGTCGTGTTCTGTCCTCTCAGGACGTCACCTTCGACGAGTCGGTCTGTTACTACCGACTTCACCCGCACGCGTCCCACCCGGTCCCCCTTGCACCCCTCTTCCTGGTACCAGTCCCCCCCCCGGTAGACCCCCTCCCCCTACAGGGTCCTGCTCCCTCAGGTGTGTCCCAGGTAGACCCACCCCCCTTGGATGAGCCAGTTGAGATCTCTTCTGACTCCTCTGACTCACCTGAGGGGGGTGACGCCGTCGCCGACGACACGGCGACCACTCGCCACACTCCTCGCTTGGCGACCCCCCCGGGTTTCCTGCCACGACCGTCTTCGCCGCCTCCGCAACCTGCTGCTGTGGACTCTGGAGCTGAGACTACTGGAGCTGGGGCTGGGGGTGGTGAGTCTGGGGGTGCCCGCTCTCCTCGTCTGGCTACCCCCCCCGGGTTCCCACCTCTGCCGTCTTCGCCGCCTCTGCAGCCTACTGCTGTGGACACTGGAGCAGAGACTGAGGGTGCTGAGACTGAGGGTGCTGGGACTGAGGGTACTGAGCCTGAGGGTGCTGGGACTGAGGGTGCTGGGACTGAGGGTGCTGAGACTGAGGTGCTGGTGCTGGAGGTGCTAGAGGTACTGCTGGAGGTGCTGGAGGTACTACTGGAGGTACTAGAGGTGCTGCTGGTGCAGGAGGTACTGGAGCTGCTAGTGCTGGGGGTACTGGAGCTGCTGCCGGTGCTGGATGTACTGGAGCTGGTGGCACTGGAGGTGCTGGTGCTCCTGGTGCTGGAGCTGCGGGAGCTGCTGACCCTGGAGGTGCTGGAGCTACTGGTCCCGGAGGTGCTCGTACTGGAGGTGCTGGAGCTGCCGGAGCAGGTGGTACTGCTGGTGCTGGAGGTGCAGGAGGTGCTACTGGAGCTGCTGGCACAGGAGGTACTGGAGGTACTACTGGTGCTGGAGGCGCTGGAGCTGGAACTGGAGGCACTGGAGGTGCTGGAGGTACTACTGGTGCTCGAGGTGCTGGCGCTGTCGGAGCTCGTGGTGCTGGAGGTGCTGGTGCTACTGGTGCTGGAGGTCTTGCTGGGGGTACTGGAGGAGCTGCTCGTGCTGGAGGTACGGGAGCTACTGGTGCTCTTCGCCACCTTCTCAGTCTTCCGCCAGGTGCTACTGGCTTCCCTGTGGCAGGTACTACTCCTCCGTTGCTGTGTCCGCCAGCGGACCAGTCACAGCCACCGCTGCTACCACACTCCCCACTGCCTGCTCCTGCTCCTTACACTGCGGTGTCAGAGTCCCTGACTGAGCGTCGAGAGGCTGAGACTCGTGCTTCCACCCCTGAGCGTCGAGAGCCTGAGTCTAGCTTTGACCTTGAGCCTGAGCCTAGAGCTGCTGTCCGTGCTCGTGTTCCTCGTGTTCGTCGTCAGCGTGCTCCGGCTGTCCCCGGCACTCACGATATGACACTCCGTCCTTCCTCTGTTCCTCAGCGTGTTGTACTACCGTTACCTCCTGCGTCCTCTCTGCCTGACGTTGCTGACCCTCCGTCTGACCTTGCTCGTGCGTCCAGTCCGACTGTTACTCGCCTTCTTGCTACGGCTGTGACGGACCCTACGTTCTCGTCTCCTGCTGCGTCTGCCCTAGTAGCTGAGCTTGTTGACTTTGCTGCTGTGTACAGCCTAGACTACCTTGCGAGTCTTGTCTCTGACCCTGTCCCTGCCTGTCCTCCGTCCGTCGGGGGTGAGACTGCTCTTGGCTGTACTGCCCTTGGCTGTGACGTTTTTGAGGACAGACAGGAGGAGCTAGAGTGCCTTGCTGTCGCTTCACCCCATCACGCGACCATGCTGCTTGCCCCTGAGGG